CTCTAAAAATCCTCAAAATCTCAGAGCAAAATACCAGCCTATTTTGACACAGCTCTTCTTTCATAGCAAACACTTGAATTCTCAGAATTTTTCTTAACTGTGAAACATGGGTAGGGCACTGAAACATGCATTTTTATATTTTTGCTCCTTATGAACCAGATAACACATGAGATGCAATGAAGTTTTTCTAGACGTCAATTTTCAATTCTCTTATCTTGAAGCATGAAAGTGAATGGTTGCTAGATTTGTAGACACACTGGTTTTGGTAGCAATTGCATCTTATGTGGGATGTATCTGGTGTTTTATTATTTGTTTTATAGTGTCATTTCAATGTAATGTGCTGTTCTTTGTGTCTTTGTTGTCTCTTTTTTTTCTTTGTCCCCCCAACAGCATTTTGTCCCGCACAGGGAAGAAGGAGAATCAAGATGCCTCCAATTTGACAGTGCCCATGACCATGTGTCTTTTTCCTGTGCCATTCCCACTCACCCCATCTCTAAGACCACAGGTCAGTTCCATCAACCCTACTGTTACTCGCTCCCTCCTTTACAGCGTCCTGCGAGATGCTCCATCTGAACGTGGCCAGCAAAGTCGTGATGCTCAGTTATCAGACTACCCATCTTTGGACTATCAAGGACTTTACGTGACACTGGTGACACTGCTGGATCTAGTTCCCTTGCTACAACATGGTCAACATGGTAAGCAGGCCCTTGAACCCTTCCAGTGCGCTTAACTTCAGTGCCATGAATCCATGAATGATGCATAAATGCAGTAGAAGAGATGGGCCTAAACTGACCTGGATCTGGAATTCAAATCTCCTGGGATGCATTTATATCCAAGTGTTTGGTTTGACTTTCTTAAATAAAAGATTTTTTTTTTTGCTAACTGTGGATTTGGGTTTGAATTCTGAGGTTGTCTGATTTTTAGTGATATGCTGGTGGTATGTAACTAAAATACAACGTTATGTAACAAAAACAATACAGATGGATCTAAAAAATTTTGATTCTGTTGGGATACCTTCAGACTGGTCTTTTTGGGGTGGCTCTCTTTAAAAAGGCACAGATTGCTTGCAAATGTATATCTGGCCTATAACAAATATGCAGATTGAGTGTTTTGGTGAAGGTCCATCTCTAAATAGAATATAGAAAACATTTAATTGAAGAAAAAACATGGTAATAGTGATTTGAGATGGCTTTAAAATATTCCTGGGTAAAAAGATAGCAGTATCTTTGTCTGATTGATTTACAGAAAAGCTGTACTTCCTTATATTTTGAAATAGTTAATCACAAGGTTTTTTGGTGACTGAGTTGTATTTATATTGTTTTCCCTCTAAGTTCTGCATACATCTGGCTTGTTAGTCTGTGGCTTTCCATGCTGAGATTCAGGAGCCCAGTGTTCTCTGTATGTTACATAAGCCAAATACTAATTTTCACCGTGGTGTCAGGGTGTATTACGTAGTTCACTACAGCAAGATTGTTGTTAATGTGATACACTGCTGAAATTCTTTTGGAGGAAAAGTTGTTTTCTGCTAAATGCTGAATTCCTTTTGAGTTGGCAGCAGCAGCATGTTTTGAATCAAAGACTACTGCACTAGGAAATGGTATGATTTTGCAAGAAGGGGGCTCCTAGCAGATTACAGACTTACTGACTTAACTTCAATTTCTAGAAATGGTAGAGTTAATTATCAGAACAATCTTTTTCTAAATAGATAACATGGTGATTATTAACAACCATTGGTGACCTGTAAAGAACAAATAACAATGAGCAAACATAATTTCCTTTAGTGGCAGCACAATGGCTGTTCTGACGGGGTTTTCCTGTCCTTAGTCAGGCTTTTGTTGCTGTGTCACTTGACATCCTAATAGGCAATCTGAGACATATGGTCCCCACTTGAGTGGGGAAAACAGTCCAGGAGTAATTACCAGTGGCTCTTGTCAGTTGGAAGGGCATATACCAAGTGGGAATCTAACAGGACTCTGTGCTGGGTCTAGTGTTATTAAATATTTTAATTTTTTTACTTGACTGATATAAATGAGAGAGCACTTTGATTTGCAGGGGTTATCAAGATGCGGAATAGCATGCCCATTGTGTGAAAGATATCCAATTCAAAACAATCTTGGCAAATTGCATTCTGTTTTGAAGTGTCTTCAAAGGAGAAATGTAAAATACTGTGTTTAAGCAGGAGAAATCAAAGGCAAAAATGAAATGGGGAAATACTAGCTTCAAAACCGTACTCCAGAGATCTGTGTATTGCAGTAGATCAGAGGTGGACCATAAGTCACTAATATATTAATATTCTAGCAATATGTAAACAGGTGTTTTGTGTATGAGATGCCCAAAGCATTTTGTTTATTATTCTAACAGCCCTAGCAAGGCCTCAGCTGGAGTAAAATTTTCATGTTTGTCTATCTGGCTTCAAGAAAGACATGGACCATTTGGGAGGGGTCTAGGAACAAGAAACAAGAATGATTTGAGGTCTTGAAAATGTGAACAGTGAGGAAAAACAGAAAGAATTTGGTTTGTCTAGGTTAGCGAAAAATGGGAGGGAGACGTGATTATCATATACAAATATTTAAAGGTTGTTGTGAGGGGAAATAAACTAAACCAAACTATTTGTGGTTACGATTGATCAGGATAAGAAGTTATAGGCTTAAACTGCAGCAATGGAAATTAAAAAAAAAAAAAGGCCTTTTCATGATAAAGATGAAAAAAAATCACTAGGATGAATTGCCAGGAGAAGGAGTGAACGGTCTTGCAGATTTTTAAGAACAGTTTAGATAAGTATCTGCCAGGTTGATTTGGTTGGTTTGGTTGACTCACTCTTGGTGCAAGGGGAGGTCACTTGCTATTTTCTATGGATCTGTGGATGGAGAATTAAATTTTGCAATACAACTTGTTATTTATTTCTCCTCAGCTTAGCATTTGACTAAAATAAATATTTCTTTTTTATCAGAATAATCAATGTTGTTTGGGTAAGTACAACTGGTGCTCTAAGCGGTCCTGAGCTTTGGTCCAATCAGATCATACAAAACTTTCAATGCTTACCTGATAAATATGTATTGCAGGAGGGAGACACTCTCTAGCATTAAGGGTCTGGTCTTGCATAGAACACTTGCCAGAAGCACTGAAATGGAGTGCTAATTTTAATTCTTACATGACTCATGATGTAAGTCATGTAAGTCATGATGAGCTACTGACCTCTCAGCACTTTACAGAGGCAGTTTTAAATCATCCTAGTTGTACAGATGAGACTGAAGGCCTGTGTAACATAGTTAAGGTTACAGAGTGAGTAACAAAAGTAATCCCTCTCATGCAGGGGAAAGGCCTTATGATGTATTGGGATCATCATACAGGTTCAGACTTGGGGTTCACTGAGTGCTGTAACCTTTCTCGGAGGGTTATTGGCCCCAGCTCAATTCCTCATTTGGAAGAGGGTATAAAGATGCCACAGTGTCCAGATACACAATAACTTATCCCTACCCTTTGGATCGTGAAATGTGGCGTGCTTCTTAAGTATCCCTTCCAAAGAGTTGTGGTATAATTAATTAGACTAAGTATGGAAATTCTTGATAAATACTCATTTCCTTTTAAGCCATGGTCATTTTTGGCCTCAGTGGCTTCCCAGGAAGACAAGATCCATAGTTTAATCACATGTTGTTTGAAAAATACAGTGACAATTCCTGTAGTCTCTATAGGGAGGGTGTATTTTGCAGCTCTCTTCAGGGTAATTAAGATCAAAATCTTATTTTTCTGTGGCTGATAAAGACTAGAATGCTTTATGCAAAAGCAGGCCTTTCAATACCAAAGTGCATATCCAATTCTGATTCTGATAAAATCTCTGCTTAAACGCAGGCCACTGTAAGTCACTGTATGATTAAAATCAACATTGATTTCAATCAATGATTTTACTGGCTGTGGTATTCATCTTCCCTCCAAACTCTTCTGAGTACTGTTGAATAGCTCTCTCCCTCCGTTTTAGGACAGGCTTAAAAATGATGGGTGAAGTCTGTTGTCTGTAGTGATTAACCACCCAAAATACTTTGAGGGGAAAACTTGAATCTAAATGTAATTTTTTTTATAGTTTTGTAAACTAAAAAGTATATAATATTTTTCCATTTTAATGATTCTGTATTTATTTCGTTTTATTCAACAGATCTTGGGCAATCAATTTTTTATACCACTACATGCTTACTTCCTTTTCTCAATGATGATATTTTGAGTACTTTACCCTATACAATGATTTCAACACTAGCTACCTTTCCTCCATTTCTGCACAAGGATATTATAGAGTATCTCAGCACATCTTTTCTGCCTATGGCTATATGTAAGTAGAACTCATTCTAGTATTGTTATGTCTCAAAACCCATGGTGCACTGCTATCATAGTATCAGACTGTAGGAGTCAGAGTTTGATCTGTCATAGAATTGTAATGGGACATTAATCTACTGTATGTATATATGTAAAATAATCACATGTGACTATTTTTCAAAAGGAAATAATTATATATTTTTGATTTATTTATTATGCTCTGTTATTGTGTGAATTCTTCATTTAAAATGTGAAGTTTAGCTTCTTTTAAGAAATGCACTGTTTTCAGGCTTGGAGAAATTTCAGTGCCAGCAGTGGGAATTTTGAATACAGAATCAATGGACAAACAGATTAGAAACATGCATAATTTTTGCATTTTTGCATCTGGACTAAATCTGGATGTACAAGAATGACTCTTCTCAATGTAATGATGTGATGAATTTCTGATTTTTCTTCCCATCTCTTCACCCTTGGTATTTTCTCCTTGAGTTCTGTACTAAATAGCTCTGCCTGTAATGTCTCCTATCCATAAGTGTTAAGATTGAATCTGACGGTGCCTGCCTTTTTCCCCTCTTTCTTTCTTTTTTCTTTCTGAGGATGTCACATGATTATGTGATTTCATAATCCCTGCAGGATGTGAATCTTGAGGTGTGGCCCCAATGTTCATCTATGTACCTGATAAAAAGCTTGATGGGATTTCAGTAGTAGTGAGAAATTTAACAATGTTCTGCAGATGGAAGCATTAGCATTGGTATTAAAAGTCAGTTTTAACCAACAAGCCTTTTACTGTGTGGGTGATCAAACATTGTAACGGTTTGTCAGAGAGGTTGCAGATTCTTCATCCTAGCAGATGCTCAAAACACAACTGCACAAGGTCCTGAGTACCTGCTATAGTTGGACTTTCTTTGAGCAGACAAGATGATCTCCAGAGGTCCCTTCTAATGTCAACCATCCAGTGATTCTGTGAGAATGTCTCCTTATCTGTATTCCAGACCTTTAAGGAAAAACATAACCACTTTGTACACAGATCAACACTGATGTCATTTAAGCATGTAGAAGATGCTGTTAGAACATGAAAAGAAGCATGGTCCAGTGGTTTGAGATTAAGATTTTATAGAAATTTATTGCCTGCATTTTCCGGCTCTCAGTCAGTGATCTTGGAGAAGTCCCTTAACTCTTCTGTACCTCAGTTTCCCCATGGAAAATAGTCCCTTGTAAGACATTGCCATGGTGTTTTCTCTGTTACCTTTGACTGGTCTAATAGCAGTATGTGAATGAAATTCAGTAAGATACATTTCATATGTGCAATGGGTCCTCTTTGGGTTAAGAACAGAATGTTGCATTAAACTCCTTTCTCTTCCATTACTGTTACCTGTTAAAGAACAGCTGATGTAGGTGACTTACCCTTTCCTGTCTATATTTAGGTCTGTAAAACTGTTCTCCAAAACAACTGATTGAGGCAAATCCTTGGTTTACTTAAATATTAAATAGATACTATTCCCCAACTGCCCTTGGCAGATGCTGCGTCCATGCAGAGGGTGGGAGCACCCTTTGTCATACTGCTGTTTTCCTCAGTTTTGGTTAGATCTCTGGTATGAAAACAGTTTGCTGGTCTTTAAATTTGCCTTTTATGCCCTACTTTTCTGCTGATGGCCACATTTTAATTGCCAGGTTAGAGCTGCTGGGTATTTTGCAATTTAAATCCATACAAATAGACCTTGCTGTAATAATGTGGGGGCTCTTAATTTGTGTGGATGAGATTCAAAAAAGAATGAATTAAGTGCAACGAAGAGTCTTTCCTTACCGGGTATGATCTGGTCCTTTACAAGATGACTGCAAAATCTTTCCTTCCCCTGGTGTTCAGCTTTGAATCAAACTGAAGGGGAGGATGCCATGATGTTTTCTCTGTTACCTTTGACAGGTCTAATAGCAGTATGCAAATGAAAATCAGTAAGATATATTTCATATGTGCAATGGGTCCTCTTTGGTAGCTGCAGTTCTGTGCTTCTGTCCCAAATGCTTGGTATTTGGGTCCTGGCAGCCAGGCTTGTTTGGGAAAGTGCTCTGAGTGAGGATGGGGAAGATACATGCCACATCTCTGTGTAGGAGGTTGCCTTTGAAGCCATATTGCCATGTTATAGTTCAGCAAATAAACACCTACACTCTGCATGGTTTTTCCAAGTATACCATTTAATAGGAACCACTTCGTAGGAGACCAGAAGGAAATCTAGCCAGTTTATGCACGAAGTCAAAGTTAAAACAGCTTAGCTATGCTTTAGTGCTACTGTTTATCATTTTCTTAGCACAGTTCACATAATAAGGGGGACTAATTTTTCTGGAATGTAGCTGTAACTTGAACTCACACCATGTGCTTCCTGAGAAGTAACCTGTGCCATACACCAACAGCCAGCAGCTACCACCAGGCCCAACCCTTCATCAGTATACCTCAACAGCAGGCTTTCAATTTTTTCTGGTTTCTTTACTCTCCACTTCTCCTTACCTTTCCTGCAAGCCAAGCCCTAGGTGCACTTGACTGTACAAGTGACATTGTTTTGACCAGTCTGTGGGTTCTGAAGGAGAGTGCCTGAGATCACTGTCTTTGGTTAACGCAGGTCTGAGGATGAAATCTTACTGATCTGGAAAACCAGGTGTGCGCCCTGTGAAGCAATACCACATTCTTAGTCATCTCTCTCTTCCAGCAGAAAAGGGGTTTCACCTCCTCCAATATGGAATGTTTCCAGTTTTTTAGGGGGTTTTTTTGGTTTGAGGTTTTTTTAATGACATGGTACCTTAGGAATTTTATTTGTATCAGTTGGAACCAGTTATATGATATTCTTACCTAATTTTCCTTGTTACACAATAGAAAATGTTTTATTTTTTTTTCCCTTTCTTTCAAGTGGGATCCTCAAAAAGAGAAGGTGTTCCAGCACATGTCAATCTATCTGCATCATCAATGCTAATGATTGCAATGCAGTACACATCAAACCCGGGTATGTGTAAACATGCAACATGGTATCATTCTGTCTGAAACTCTGAATCATGAAGTACTGTGTCAAATGCAATCAGAAAAGTTCAGCCGATGGGAAAAATCTGTCTCACCGTCCAGCACAGGATGAAAAAAAAGTGATTTTAGTCAAAACTGGAATTTCTGAGCATCATGCGTGAAGTAATCATTATGTAGATAAGAGATCTCATTGTGATGAAGAAATAGGGTTTGGCACAGGACTGGAGACTCTGATCTACTCTTGCTTGACATCAGAAAATAGTGTTGATACATAACATCAGTATTGGAGAGAAATCGCCACTATCTTTGACTACAGAAATCCATAGTTACAGTTTGTCTTACACTATGATTCATAAAGTTCACAACTGATACTATTTTTTAAAGAAGACCGGTAATGCTGGCTGCAGGCTCAACAGAACTGTAATGAATTTAAATGTACTTATAGGTATCTAAACACAAGGCCATTCTCTCTCACTGTGGCACAGTCCCAGTTAAATCAGTGAGATCACACAACCAAATCAAAACAAAATTTAACCTGAGGGAGCTGTTATGTTGCACAATAGTCAACTATCTCCTGTTTTATGTGGATGGGTAGATGGTGTGTGTGTGTAGGAACCCGACACTGCAGTATGTGTGTGAGAAGTGTCACATCATGCTACCGTAGTTCACAGCAGTAAATAAAAGCAGCACACCATTTTAAAAAGCTACTCACACAAGTTAGTTTTTTTTCATGAAACATTCTGGGTTTGTTTGTGAATTCCGTGTTCCAGCCATCTGAGAAAAATGTTGCCCTGTGGTTTTTGGGAAGTCAAATACGTAAAGTAGTTCCTTTGGCTCTCATGTTTGTTTGAAGCAGAGCGGCTCCTATAGCCTTTGGTATACGCAAGAATAACATATTGTTAGATGTGACTCCATTACTGACTCAAGATGAATGACATTTACAGTTTTATGTTGTGCCAGAGAGACAAAGTTTAAGTGAATTAGCAGGTATTCTTAAACTAGATGTCTTTGAAAGAGATCTTCATTGCTGTGCAAAAAGCTGTACACTCATAATGCTAATTATCTTACTGCATTCCTTGACAGAAGCAAGTTAATAATACTTAATTTCTAACCTTTTGTGATGATTGTCAGGTCAATGTTTCTTCAGCAAACCCTTTAAAATAAAAAGTAATTAAATGAGGTATAGAGCTTTGGATGGAGAAGGCAAAGCCAATCAGCTAATTACATGACTTCTGTAACTTGAGTTTCCATTTCAGTATTATGTCTATGCTGTTCTTTCTCTCTCAGTGTATCACTGCCAATTATTGGAATGCCTCATGAAATATAAGCAAGAAGTATGGAAAGTAAGTTTATGATCATATATACTTTCTGGAAATTACTGTATATGGATAGTAATGAAACCCAGATGGCTTGCAAATTGAATGGACTGTGTGCCAAGAAGTTGTAAATGATCTTTATATCCAATCCTCCCTCTGGATTATGGAGAGGAAGGTCCTTCTGGTATTTAGTTTACAGAAGCAGCTCCATTTTTTGTAGAACAGAGCTCTGTTTCCTAAATACTATGTGGTTGTGGGCCAATTAGAAATTTTAATAACAACCAATCTTCTCAGTTCATGTGAGACTGAACTTTTATGAGGACTATTTGTGAGTATTGTCTTAGCTTAAATCTGATCTGGATCCATTTACTTATCTACATCACATGTCTTTTCTCCGTGGCTGGACAGAGGCTTCATTTGCTATATGTTAGTATACTATGCAGGGTGAGTGGTAGCCGTTGGATGCTCCGATCAAACTCAGAAGCCAATTGTGAACATGTTATTGAAGTTAGTAATCTAATCTACATGTAAGAGTGTACAAAGGATGTTTGTTAGGACATGAAAGGTATATATTTTGTGTGTTCAGGTATCTTTGAACATATATATATATAAAAATATATATATATATATAATTGTGTTACCTTGCAAAGTAAACATTTCCTACATGTCTTTCCTAGGATTTGCTATATGTGATAGCCTATGGACCATCTCAAGTTAAACCTCCAGCGGTACAAATGTTATTTCACTATTGGCCCAATTTAAAACCTCCTGGGGCAATCAGTGAGTACAGAGGACTGCAGTACACAGGTCAGTACAGCTGGTTTTTTATAGGCCAAAATAAATATAAAGGAAATTAACACAGAAGTGTGTTGATGTCACATGTTTACAGTTCTATGATGTATTTTGAAATCTTTTGTTTGATAGTTTGGTATTTTCATAAGTATATACAAGATCCATTTCTTGGTATTTTCAAAAGATGTTATGAAAAATAAAAACTGTGATCATGGCTAGTAAATATATGGTGTTACTCACAATACTCACTAAACCAGAACAGAAGAAATAAATACAGTGTTCCAAATGGTCTGTGAAACCGCCTTCTCGGCCTCACAAGGGTTCTGGCTTATGTTCCTTTCAATTACTGCTTTGGTTGCTTTTGTTGTGCCAGCTGCTATCACTGCTGCTGTTGCTAAGACTCCTTATCTGGCTGTTACTGTCAAAAAAAGTCAGGTGATGTCAGGTGCAGTCAGTATAATGGATAAGTTCTCAAGGCTGACTATAGGGTGAAAATGAGAGACAAACTCAGCAATGCAGCTGAAGCTGAGTAGGCGGATGGTACAAAGTCCTCTGTCCACCAGACTCCCCAGTGATACTGATGGGGTTGTGTGGGGACTGTCCAGCAGCAATTCATGACTTGCTTTTCCTGCTTGCCTGTCTCAACCTATTTCAAATAATCTCTGTAATATGGGATATGTTTTGTTCATTTTTAAAATTTCTGGACCAGAATGCCACATTTTAAATAATAAAAATGAAGGATTGGAAGAGACCTTAGAAGACCTGAATGTTCCTGATACATGCGTGTCTGATCTGTTCTAAAGCCTTCCCTTGAAGGGTTGATAGGCTTTCTTGACTTTTTAAAAAAATAATTCTTTTTGTACTGCTCTGCATCACTCCTTTCATGTAAGCAGGTCTGTAAACTAAACATGACATTCCATCTGAACTGCTACTAGCACAGGGTACACTGGAATAATTTTCCTGTATAAAAATTTTCTGTTAATGTATCCCAGAATTAGATGAGTATTATTTGCAGTTGCATGGCATTTTGACCGGGGGGCATCCCATATAGCATCCAAGTGATGCCACTTGAGCATATCTTTGTTGATTACTTCTTGTCATTACAAGGCTCCTTCTGTGGCTGGACTATTTTTTCGTTATCGTAGCTGTGTTTTCTTTTTGCCTGGGAGTGTTAGTGAATTTATTCAGCTATTCCTACCATCCTGCTCGTGGAGTGGAAGAATAATTAATTAATTAATTAAAGGTGTTGGTGAGATCAGGAAGGGTCTACAACGGGGATGTTTGCATCTTCCTTTTTCCATTTCTTTGCTGAGTTCATGGTTGATTTCATAATTATATCCCAAACAAGTCAGTAGGCCTATATATTCTAGGTTGTTTATTAGGCTTCCCGAGGAATGGATAGGTCTTCTCTCATATTTGTATAGTACTTAGTAGAAGAGGACCTTGTTCTCAACTGATACCACTAGGCACAAAGAATATAAATATATTTTATCCATTTATTAATCAGCTGTGTTTTGGTTTTGCAGCCTGGAATCCTATTCATTGCCAGCACATTGAATGCCATAATGCGATTAACAAACCAGCTGTGAAGGTACTGCTATTTATTCAGGGATCAAACCCAACTATCTGGGGGATGGGAATTTGCACTTTGACCCCAGCCATATGCTCTGGTTGTGTGCAGGTGACCAAGAGCAGGAGCTAAGGGAACAGTAAAGGCTGTCAAGACCAAGGGGGCCAGAACTTTGTGAATATGTTCTTTGGCTGCCTAAAGCAAGACAGGGTATTTCCTCCAACTGCAGAAATTGTTGCAGAGAAATTCATAAAATTCTAAGCTGGCTCCTGGCTAATCCATGTAAATATTTTCCTGAAATGTGTGTAAATATGTGCACAAATATTACTATATACAGGAAACATTATGTCAATGACATAGGTACATATTCACCTTGGTATCTTGATTGAGGTAATACAATGCCCCTACTCTTGACTGTGATCCTTTGCTTGGAAGGTGTCCTAAAACAAATAGCAACAAAGCTTTACTTAACCTCTTCTACAGCCCTCTTTGAGGGAGGTAAATGATACCTTTCCTGTTTACACACAGGGTAACAAAGTAAAATGGTTTGACCTGGATCATAGTGAATTTGATGGCAGAGGCAAGAACAGCATCTCAAGTGCAGAGCATGCTACAGTTAGGTGTACTAATTAATTAGATTTGTATCTACTTATATATATGTAGATACAACTAATTTTCCTGGCATCAATTCATATACTAACATAATTACATCAGTCAAACAGTTCTTCAGTGAGCCTTTTCCACAAGCTGTGATATTGACAGGGCATGATGGTGACACCTATCTCACAAGTCCTGCGAGGGACCACTTTCCTGCCCGCTCCAATCATTCTCCATGATCCCTTTTTATAGGAAAAAAAGCTGGAAGGTGTTGCTTTGTGTTGTAGTGATCACTAGATTCAGACTAACCAGTGAGTAGAGCAAAATACCAACGAAATTTACAGTTCCAAGCTTTGCAGGTGAAGTACCTGAATATTTTTGAATGATCTCATAGCTTAATTTTGGCAGAACCAGTTTTGATCAGTCATCACTCAGAAAAATGTAGCCTGTTGTCTCTTGGATAGATAAATGTATATTTGTTTAACAAAGATGAGAAACATTCAAAGAGGCATTTGTCTTTATAAATCAGATCTTGTGCTTGAATGGAGTAAAAGACATTTCGATTTAAGTTGTTAAGATATTGTGTATACATACTACTGTTCAGCTTTTCCTTAAATAGTACAAAACACTTAAACAAATTTGTATGTAACTGGCTGTTAACTGTAACTGTTTTCTATAACTTGCTAATGTGGAAGGATAAAAGCTAATGCAAAATGAAGTTTGGACCTATGCTGCCAAGGGAACTGTGGGCCCATAGTCTTCGTTCTGTCACTGGAATTGTGCTGTATAGTTAACAACTACGATGACTGAAAATTAGATTTTGCTCGAAGTGCTGTTACTGAGAGAGAAATATCTAGACTTTTACATTACTTTGTCCTAAGCAATTGATCCTCTAAGTGACTATCTCTTTGGAAAAAATGAAAAGTCAGTCTGTCATGACTATGCAATGTAAATGTGTGACACAAAATATATTTGTTTTTCAGAGGGTGATAATACTGGCATTGAAATATGTCCTGTCCTCTTCCTATAGGCTCTCATTCTCAGTTACATCCCTCTCTTTGTTAGAAATAATTTAAGATCCTGTGCTGCCAGATGTGGAGTGCCATCTTTCAGAATACTAAATGCTCTCTACACATATCAAAGCTGTGTTTTATTGTATGTCCTAGCAGTAATGTGTTGAACTTTCTCAGTGAATTTCAATGAACACTTGTTTTAATTCTTTTCCTTCTCTGTGTTTCAGATGTGCATTGACCCATCCTTGTCTGTGGCTTTGGGTGATAAGCCACCTCCCCTGTATCTTTGTGAGGAATGTAGCCAGAGAATTGCAGGGTAGGTAAACTAAGAGCTAGAAAATGATCACGTATAGTCAGACTCCAGAGTTCAGAACTCTGGAGTTATGCTTTATTTCAGTATTAATAGCATACAATTTATATAGATAACCCTTTTGCGATATATGGAGCATACTGCCAGTCAGAATGAATAAGGATTACAGAAATTTACCCCATAATAGGCATTTGCATCTAGCTTGAACAGTAGTGAGTTTTAAAGTTAAGTTCTCTTAATGAGTAGATACTGTAGGATGCATTGACTATGGTACGGGAATCTTATTAATGTACAAGCTTTTGCTTATGAAATGTTTTTTCTCCTCATCCATTAGTTGTCATTAAAAGCAGGACATTATGATGAAAGCTCTTTCACAAAGATTTCATTACTTTTCTGTAACATGTAATTCAGATTATTCTCTAGCGTATACTGTGAAGCAGCAGAGTAAAGAATTGAAATTGGTCCAGGCTTGTCCAGTACCTGAAAGGAATATGGCCTGAGAGAAATTAACCTCACTTTTTTAAAAAATTATTTTTATTTTTTAAAAATGGCTAATTTGTTTTGCATTACTTTTCAAGATCTACTAATACTTATGGGGAGTTCCAATCATTAGTTCAAATGGACAAGGTTACAGGTAGTTCAGAAGCTACATGGGGGTTTTTGACCCCAGTTTAAGAAACCTTTATATCACATCAGCTGTAGGAAAAGCAATTACATCTCACCTTAGATTTTTAAGTCATCATTGATTTAAAGCTGCAGGAAAAAGTAATTGAATTTGGTAGAAGCATAGCTTCTAAGGACACTCAGAAAACGTTCCTGGTACTTTTTTTTTTTTTTTAATGTTCGTCTGTTATTCTTCACTATCATTTCTTAGCCATCAGACTTTCAGACCACATGCTGTTTTAATTTGATAAATTTATGCCTTAAAAGTAGTTTTTTGAAAGCCTTGAACATGGTGGACCAACATCAGCAAAGTGGTAATTTGCAATAAGACAGGCACAACAAAGAGAGGTAATGTAAAGCAGCCTGCAGTTTCTAAAACTACATTTGTAAAAAAGCAGCTTCAGAATAATGTCAGTCCTACCATATTAATTTAGATAAATTTCCTCTTTGCAAAGTAAATGCATATTTAAATAAAAAATGGAAAGCTAATTAGATATACAATTTTTATAGGGACCACAGCGAATGGTTGATTGATGTTCTTCTACCACAAGGTAAGAGGTATTTTAAGGGTAGGTACAAACTAATCATAATTGTACAACCCTATGCTTACTGATATTTCTGCATAATGTATTACTTGAAATGCTGCATTCTATTGTAAAGGAATTCTTTAGAATTGTAAAGTAGCTTGTTTATACTTAATACTGCTTAGTGTCCTTAAAGTACTATGAAAAAAATGACTAATCCTCTATATGAAATAGTATGCAGCTCTTTATATGTGAGGAAAGAGAGACAATTGAACAGATTTTCAAATCTTGAAGCATCTACAGGTGTGACCAAGTTTTTTAAAAGTATTTGTGTCCCACACCAGTGTCCATAAAAAGGGGCTAGTTCTTTCAGTAACCTGAGTCTGATTCAAAAGCTCTTAAAGTTCTGTAGATCTATTCTATGAACAGAAGGCTGTAAAGGATATCAGAAAAAGACATAAAATATTTTTCAATGATCCAGTCATTGATCCAATCTTTGTCCTTTAGCCAGTGAGAGAGCCTGATATTCTATTATCTACCAGAATGCAGAGAAAGCTTGTTGACAGACTAATCAGAATTTCCTGGGTTTACAAGGGCAGCCACATATTCTCTAAAATAACCCTTTCAAGGGCAGAACAAAGACACTCCTTCTCTCTTTGTTCTGCAAACTGAAAATTTTTAGGCAGTGGAGATTTTTTTGCTATCTCCTTTTAATAGAAATCTAATCCAGACTAAAAAGAATTTATTTACTTAAGGGAAGTACTTCTTTTTACTAAGCCACCTACATTAACTGAATCAGATGTTGCCAAGGGAACAGACTGAATACCTACTGCTTACAGGTTGAATCTGCAAACATTTCGCTATGAAGTTATGGGCCACAGACATAGTGGCTGATTCTACATTGTTCATCCATATTCACTCATCTTTCATCCTGCGAGCTTTCACAGGCAGTGTAGGCATGCCTGAGCCATGTCTCCTACATCATGCCATGTGGAGTAGTGTGCCTACAGGTGTAGTTTTACAAGTCTGTCTGTGAGGCAGAAAGTGGAGGGGTTGAAGAGCACACCACACTTAATGCACCAAGGCTGTTCTTTCATTTTGGTGTAGAAATAGCCCGTAGGCCTAAGTATACAGTGTCCTACCTCATGCGGTCCAACAGGCTTAGAGGGTTCAAGAATATCTGGAAAGACAAGATTAGCCTCAGAGACTTTCTTGCAGCAAGTCCATTTTCCCATGGCTGCCATAGTAAAACAGAAGGATCGTCATTCTGTGTTGATGTTTTGTATGCCTTCCCCTTACAGCTGAAATTTCTGCTATATGTCAGAAGAAGGTAAGATTCAGTCATATGTATGATGGGGCATGATTTGATGTTGTGTGTAGTGTCATTCCATTACTATGTGGTGCATTCTTTTTTGTACCATTCCAAATTTTCACAATATATCCATGAATGCATTTGTTGGTGGATGGGAATGATTCAGCAGCAAGGTTTCTTTTTGTTAAAACTGCTTATGTTTGATTTGTGTTGTACGTTTTTGTTGAAGTGGCAATTAGTAAAGCAATTCAATTATTCAGTTGAGCTCAGTGTTTATTCTATAACTCTGTTTATGAAGAGGATAGAACGAGATTAATTTTAAATCTAAGTATTTATAGCTTCTCATCTCTTTGAAGTCTTGGATTAATCCTAAATTGGACAAAAATCCTACTGTAAACTGTGTATTTTAATAAATATATGGACTGAATATATGACTGCTTGGCTCTAAAAAGATTGCTGACAAAAAGAATCTGCTTGCAATACATACCAGCTAGTGTGTTTTGATAACATTTTAATAATGAGGAGTACAGTGTATAGTATGTTCTAGATCTCATGTAATAAAGAAAGCTTTTATGTTGGTCCGGATTACCAGGTGGCAAAAATAAAGATACCACATATTTTGGAGGCTTGGACAGTTACCTATGATAAGGCAGATCCTTACATAGCATGAACTGATGTGGCACAATTGATTACACTCCTAAGGATCTGCCTGTTCCTACACATAACTGAGAAAGACATTCTGAAGTATAAGCAGGGGTTAAGAGAACTACTGTAAATTTCAGAGATGGCTCCAAGCCAGAAAGTTGGGGTTGGTGACTTTAATGTTGGTTTGGTCTGCTCCAAAAGAAGAGAAACCATGACATTTAAGTCCAGGCCCAGCATTTAGGCCTGACCTTAATCCTTCTGGAAGTTCAGTGACACTTGGCATCAGGAGTTAGCACACAGTTGTGCTTATATATAGTGATTTTGGAAATGACGAACACTTGAGCCAGTTCCCTCGTGCTGACTCATCCCTGTTTTCCATTCCACTTCCTGATACTTGTGGCCTGATAAAATCTTTTTTGTTTTCCAGAACTGTAGTTCACATGTGAGAAGAGCTGTTGTCACGTGCTTCTCCGCGGGCTGCTGTGGCCGCCACGGCAACAGGCCGGTGCGCTATTGCAAAAGATGCCATTCAAATCATCACAGCAGTGAAGTTGGGGCAGCCGCAGAAACCCATCTTTATCAGACCTCGCCACCCCCTATCAATACCCGGGAGTGTGGGGCAGAGGAACTTGTATGTACTGTGGAAGCTGTGATCAGGTAATATGGCAGTTTATGAGGCCTCAATGTGTAGAGCAGCATCAGGCTTTCATGTAAATATTGCGTGCAAATCTTGTGCAAGTTGATTGTTTGACCAGGATAAGTGCAGAGCAGGGGCTCTGAACTCCTGCTGCATTAGCAGAGTACTGATCAACTGTGAGTGTTGTTCTCATGAAAGAAGCCTTGAATCCTAGAATTTGATGTTATTTTATTACTGTTCTCAGGAAAGTGATGAATCAGATACCTCAACCTCTTGTTATTCTTGATCCAATCCCTGTATCCAGTGCAGGAAAGTTGCACTGACTGACCACAAGCTTGTTTTATAGCTTGCTGAAGGAAGCAGAGTTTCATGCTGAGCAGAGGGAGTATGAACTCAACCGCAGGAGACAGATGGGCCTCTCCTCTTCTCATCATTCCCTGGACAACACAGACTTTGATAATAAAGATGATGACAAGCATGACCAACGCCTCCTGAGCCAGTTTGGAATCTGGTTCTTGGTAAGAAATTCTTGCTGTCTTCTCTCACTCTTCTTGCTTCCATCTCCTCTTCTTTCTGAAGCCTCAGTTTTATATCTTTTCCCACTTCTTGGTTTTAGTTGGCTACTTTTCTGATTTGTAAGCAAAAAGTTCTGTGAAGCTGTCAGAGATTTCAGAACTAGTTTGGGTGGAGCTGCTCACTGCTTTCTGAGTCCTGTGTAGAGTGTATAACAGAATTACTCACCCTCTCAGGTTTTTTATTGGCTTTCTATGTGCCATCATCTTCTGCTCACAAGTGCCATTATTTTAACCTTGAAAGTCAGTCCCCTAAAGATCTGTCACCTTCCATCTTTCAACATCACTCTCTGGAAGCTCAGCTTTCTCTCTTACCTCTGAATAGGCTGGAGGAGTCTTAGTGGGCTGCTTTTCCTTCCTGCCTTCAGATTAGTCTAGCTGGATCAGTCCCAGTCATTGTACTCCAGATAATTCTTGTGGTGTGGGTTGACAGAGTGAAGCCGTGCTGGTTCTACCCCTCACAGTAGCTAGCAGAGATTATTCCAAAATAGCAGGGCTGCTATTGGCTAGTTCATGAGCAGGCCAGGCTGGAGCCTGATAGATCTTCAGAAATTGCATTCTACAATTCTCCTTAAGGAGAATTCTCCTTCTCAGGCTCTTTCCAATTCACCTTGACCTCTCAGGCTCTTTCCTCCTTGGTCACCCAGTGATAAGTGCGGAATAGCAGGACCCCATCCATCATCTAAACAGAGATGGGGATAGCAGGGTGGCAGTTCTAGAATCCTGTAGTGCCAACAAAGCTGCTCTGCTGTTTCAAGTGACTACATGAGTAAACTTTATATTCTGCTGAAATCTTGTGGGTTTTGTTGTTTAACATTGATTTAGACTTAAAGCCTTTTATTATTTAAAAAAAAAAATTATGGTCCATATTAATCTGTTGTGTTTCAAATGATGTTTTGTAAAGACGGAAGGCCTGTGTTGCCTGAAGTAGAATTGAAGTGAGAACAGAACAGGTTTTGTTAGACTGTACTTGCCTCATCCTTGACACCGAGAGTCTGTCTTTCTATGGTAGGGAGGGGGAGCTCACTGACTTCACTCTCTGTAGTGAGTATTGGCAGAGATGACAGATTGTGAGAAATAATGGGTTGCTGTTTTCTTTCGTAAAATGAATACCTTTCATGTAGAAACTGGACAGAGCTCAAGAGTTCCTATTAAAGAAGCTGCCAGCTGATACTGCCTTTGAGTTAACACTCAACTGAGAGAAGCACCAGGAAGCAAACACCTTGACTTCAACCTGCAATGAAGTAGAACAGTGAAGACTGTACTTTGAATTGGCAAGGGTATTGTTAGCTGCCTCATCCCAAGAAAAAACACAAAGGAAAAACACTTGTAAGATGGGTTCTGGTCTTCTCTGGGAAGCAGTGCTGTCAGCTGTTTCCTCAGAAATGACATGAATGTTTCTCCTTTGTTCAGGAGTCACTGGTTTCAGGTTGCCAGTGCTGAGAGTAGAGCTTTTACTAGGAACTGACAAGAAACAGCTGATAGGGGGTTAAAGGAGCTTCCTAAATCTCCTGTCATCTCTTATTTTCCATTCTTTGGATTCAGCGCAGCTGAAACTTTGTCTCATCTCCCCAGAAGATACCAAGAGCTTAAATGGCAGGTAATTAAAGGACTTAGCAGTGTGCCTGGTCTGGAGTACAAACTTGGTCTCAGATTATGGATAGTTTTACAGTGCAGACATCATTTTAGAAAGAGAGAATTTGGAGAAGGGAAGAAGAATATTAATTATTATGTGAGAATTTTTGAGGACTTGAAACTCATATTCCCACCCCAAATGAGGACAAAAAATCAGAATTGGAATCTTTTTGCGAAGCAAAGATCACTTACTATATTAAGTAGACATCTTTCAGACTTTTGGAAACTCTTCATTTGGTTTGTTTTTTTTCTTGTACATTTTATATATACGTGTGTATGTGTATCACATATTTTACCAGGCATTACATTAGCTTTTGACATTAAAAGTAATTTTAAATTTCAAACCAAAAGGTTTCAGTTTGTCAAAGCATTCTGTATTGATATTTTCAGTGTTGAAACTAAGAAACAAAAAATTAAGTACTTGGGTTTTTTTTCCCCTCTTATTGTTACTTTCTGGTTTGGAAATGTTTTGTCAATTGTCCTGTGCCAAACTCCGCTTAAAACTGATCAGCTCATTTGTCTTCTACGTAATCTGCATCCTCATATCTCTGAGAATATGCAAAATACAGTAAACAAAAACTTTGTCACCTTTAATCGTAGAAATGAAACTTGATTTGTGTTTCTGTCTTCCAGGTGAGCCTTTGCACTCCCAGTGAGAATACACCTACAGAGAGTTTAGCAAGGCTGGTTAGCATGGTATTCCAGTGGTTTCACTCTACAGCTTACATGATGGATGATGAAGTTGGTAGCCTTGTTGAAAAGCTCAAACCCCAGTTTGTTACTAAGTGGTTGAAGACTGTTTGTGATGTCCGGTTTGATGTCATGGTTATGTGCCTCCTTCCTAAACCAATGGAGTTTGCCAGGGTAAGAATAATTTATCTCAAGGTTCCTTTATTTGTCACAGAGATTAAAGTCTTAAGTATAAAGACCATTTCTTCCCAGCTCTGTCAAGGCAAAAGAAATCTCAGTGGTTGAGGGAGCAGTGGAGTTCAGGAACTTTTTCTCTTCATAGAATAGAATATTATAGGTGTTGAAAGTTACTGTACATTTTTGATAGTGACACATTTCCATTATGCTGCCGAAGCACCCAAGCTTGTCTTTAATAAAAGATATCATTTTTCTGCTCCCAGATATAAGCCTGTCCTTTACTAGTCTGCTTTACTAATGTTTCTCTGTTCTTTGCATACTTCATCTGTGCAGCTGTGAATTAAGGTTCATGAAATCACACAGTTGTAACTGAAAGGAGCTCTGGGCATACTGGTGCCCTGTAGCTTCAGATACCTAATTTAAGTGACTCAGTTAAGAGACTAGTATGCCATCGTTCACTTTATTGCAGATGGAGAGAAAGAGACTTACCTGGAAGGTCATTTAGGGTGCCTAAGTGAGACCATTGCTGGAATTGCTTCTAGAAAGAGTCTTTCTATCTGTCCATTAGTTATGAAGCAGAACTCTCCACTTAAACTGGGTAGTGAAGACAGGCAACAGTCAGGCATATGAATATTCCTCAATAGAAAATGAAACATCAGCATGAAAATAGGAACTTCATATTTGTGAGAGGTTTAAGACTTTTTCCTCATTTATCACTGCCAACTGTACCACATGTGCTTTTGTAAGACTTTCATTTTGTAACCCTTTTACATAAAATGTCCAGGGGACATACTGGTTTTGTTTCCTAAAATTAAGTGGCTAGACTAGGAAGGGCCATAAAGACTTGATGTGATACATTACATCATCAGGGATGAAGTGTGCATCTGTGGATTTTTCATGACCTAATGTGTGGGATTTGCTGTACGTGTGCAGACCAGTGTGTGTATGTGTCTTACTCTGAACCATCGCTCTGAAGATACACCTGGCTGTGGGAGGATTGGAGGGCAGCTGAGGAAATTTGAGAGGTGGATGGCTCAATCGAATGTTAGAACTGAAGAAAAGAGATCAGAGCTTTGAGGCTAAAGGGGGGGAAGGGAAGGACTGAAGCTCATGCTGTAATCTGTTATGGATGTTTTTCTTGTCTTGGATCCAGCCCCTTTTTTGATTTTTATTACCCCCACTGCAATATGTAAGACTAGACTGACAACTTGCCAGATTTGCAAGGGTTTGCTAGAACATGAAGACAAACATCCATGAAATTAGCTGTGATGAATGGAGAAAAAATAGTTTGTTGGATGAGATTACCAGTAGTTGCTGCCAAAACAGCAGGCATTTCTAGAGCCATTAGTCAGGAACAGCAGATGTGAGCTGAGGTCAGTTAGAATAATTAATCTCGGTAGTCCAGTTACTTATTTACTTAGAAGTGTATTTTTTGGTTTCCATCACTTAGAACCTTCCCTCAAAAAAACCCCAAAAAACCAACCACAAAAGAACACCTGGCACAGATCAGGTTTTTCAAAATAAGGATGTAACACTGTAACAAGGTGCCCAGAACAAATAACTGAAGGTGAAAATTTGACCAAACAAATCTGTCCCTTGTTGAGAACAGTAAACAATGAGAGCTTACTCTGCATCATGGCCTGGAAGTGAGCAAACTTAATCTAAATCTTGGAAGAGTGCTTTTATGTACTGTGGATCAAATGTGAGAGAAAAAACCCAATTCAATCCCCATGGCTGAATTCTAAATTCAGGCTGGAAGGTGCTGATGATCACCCCTGCAATTTCATGGTTGCAATACACTGAGCAAATTTATGGTGCTGGGCAGGTTACAGGGACTAGAAATATTGTTCATCAGTATGATTCCTGGAAACACCCACAGGTTGGTGGATACTGGGACAAATCGTGTAGTGCTGTGACCCAATTAAAAGAAGGTCTGAATCGAATCCTCTGCTTGATTCCATATAATGTGATAAACCAGTCGGTGTGGGAATGTATCATGCCAGAGTGGTTGGAAGCTATAAGGACGGAAGTGCCTGATAATCAACTGAAGGAGTTCCGGGAAGTGTTGAGGTATGTAGGCATATGTAGGAACCATTCTATTGTTGCATATGTTGATTGTTGAGGGTTTTAGTACAATAAGATGGTGACAGCTAATAAAAATGCCTGTGTGCAATAGACATAGTGAGTAAATACTTCTGAATTTTTTATGACTTGTTCAGACTAAAGCACTTGAGCTTTGCGAAAGTTTCCTTTTATTGCTCCTGATACCCTCAAATCTGTACCAAGAGCCAACTACGTGGATGCTGCTTTGCTGTGAGCAAAGCACATTTCAGTGGCTTCTTGCAGCATGGTGGAAGAAGCATCTTTCTGCTCCTCACCAGCTGTTGATGAGAAATAGTGGGGATTAGTAGATCTGGCACTGAAAGACTGATGGTTTCTATTGATTTTGCTAATATCTTCCCCTGTTGAGCCAAGAAAACACCAGTATAAGAATGGTGGCTCTCTGAGTCATAACTTCGTGTCCGATGTATGCCTGACAATAAAAGTTCACATTGCCTTTTAACTGATGAAGAGGCTCTGAAACTGACTGTAAGGCCAGTTGTAGGTATCAATGTAAACTTTTTTAGTGTAAACATGGAATAGTGGAGTGAGATGAGAAACTTTCAAATTTTTACATTGGGTGTTGAAAAAGATATTGCTATCAAATAAAACCAGGCATGATATGATATATCACCAAATTCAGAGATGATCTTTTGCAGTCAGGACAGGTGGTATCAGCAACCTACCTCAACTCCTGTGGAGAGTGGAGGTGCAAGTAAGATTACAGAAGCATCATCAGTGCTGGCAGTGAGATTGTCTTTCTGCCAGTTTTCTGGTATATCTCACACCGTGTGTGCCGTGGTAACTCAGTGATGCTATTTTTTTTTTTTCTACTTTTCAGCAAAATGTTTGACATTGAACTTTGCCCTCTCCCTTTCTCCATGGAGGAGATGTTTGGCTTCATTAGCTGTCGATTCACAGGGTATCCATCCTCTGTGCAAGAGCAAGCGTTGCTTTGGCTGCATGTAAGTGTCCTCTCTTGACAAGTCATGCTGAAGCACCTTATGATTTTGAAAAAGACCAAAAAAAAAAAAAAAAAAAAAAAGAAGGGTAACCCCTCCACACACACTTTTCCAAGGATCACGGAACCTTCTGCCCTTTGCTTAGCCCCAGTGTAAGGTAGAAAGATTCTGGGAAGCTTTATGTTACTAGCCCATCATAGACAATGTAACAGAAGCCTGGAAATTGCTTTTACCTTTGAATGTCGGTTGTGTCTTTAGGGCCATTCAGCTGCCTGACTTTTTGCCAGCAGTAGTTTTTAGTCTCTGCAGCATTTGGTCTGTAGATTCCAGAATTAAATCCAGACTCCAGAAGCAGTTCTAATTGTTCCTGCACATGAAGACCTGGATTAGACTAGCTCTGTACCCATCAAGCTTTCTGTTTCTCTGGCCCTTTTGTGCTATATTTCCCCATAAAGCTGGCATTCACACAGTGTTCATATTCAAAAGCTACAGGGACAATCATGTCAGCTGGGGGCAGTGAATTCAAAAGGGTATAAAATTTTCCACGGCACCTCAGAATAACACCTGTATTCTTCATTATTGCATCTTTTCTGCTGAAGGTTATTTTGGTTAAGCCTCTGCAAAGTCCAGTTTACCTGATGACTGTAGCAGTTTTCATGTATGCAGAATTTTCAAGTAAAGTATTAGGTTTTTTAGATTTTTCTTGACCTAATAACAGTTAATGGCAAGCATGAACGAGCTCATATTTGTCTGAGTGTTGGTGACAAAATAGATGATGAATATTCTCTCAGTGATTAGCAGATAACCATCCTGTCACTATGTTGACACCTGTAGGCAACCCTCCTGGCTGAAATCTTAGAATAAATACTGGAATTCAGTTTTAAATAATAATAAATTTAGTAAATAGTTATTCATCCAAGTATTGGTAATACTTTTGGCTTACAGAATACTTCTATGGAACAATCGCACATCCCTGTGTGTTCATGCATAAAACTGACTCAAGGTGCGCCAGGCAGATGCAAACAAATATTTTGAAAATATCCTTTTTTTTGCCAGTTCTCTTTTGCCCTGATTCTAACAGAAATCTAAGCTTGCAGCTCACCTCATTGAATTCCAAAATTAAATGCATGGAACTTGCTGAACTGAGGATCGTATGATAAAGGTGCTTATAAAGTGGTTGGCATTTTGGCACAAACTTGAAACTAATGCTATTTTATTTATTGTCTTTCCTCAGGTGTTATCTGAACTAGATATTGTTGTTCCTCTTCAGTTACTAATCAGCATGTTTTCCGATGGAGTTAATTCTGTAAAAGAGTTAGCAAATCAAAGAAAATCGAGAGTCAGTGAATTGGCAGGAAATACTGCAGCTCGGAGGGTAACTGTTATTTATCCTGCTTATTTTTTTGCTTAGAACAGTTTTCCTAATAGAATGCATGTGAAGAATTAAAAAGTCATCTTTCAATATGGCAGCATTTGATTGGAAACACTATAAATTTTGAAAATGGAAGAAAATTGGCATGACTAATTCAATTAATACTACTCTATTACGTGATCAGTGTAAAGATAATGCAGGTAGGAACTGCAGAAAAACTGTGCAGTTTTTGCTTAGTGAACTGGTTCGTTTGGGACATGTTTGGAGTTTTCTTGGTATCTTTTCCAACCATTTTCATTCCCTGTACCTTCTGTTAATAACCATCAACTAGTTACGGACAACTAGTCACCCAGAGTGAGCTTTTGTACTCTAGTGCAAATTTGGTGGGCCTAGGTATGTTTTGGTAGGGTGACACAGCAGAATTTATTTCTGTTTTCCTGCATTTCTTTTTCCCCATCCAAGAGATGCAAAAATTGATCTAAAGTTGTCTGTCAAAGGCTTGTGGTCTGGAAGAAAACATGTACAAATCTGTAGGCACTACACATACTTGGATTAATGTGACTAACTTCTCAGTAGTCTTGGACGAAGTGCTTCAAGGACAGCAGGAACAAGAGTGCTTGAAAGGTCAGATCTTTAGATTTAAGGAACTACAAGCATCTAGGCAGTTGATGATTCCTTATGTGTGGTCTTCCTGTCTTCTGATCTAGCTCCGCAGAGAGCAGTCCCAACACCTAGCCCATGACTACTTCTAAACTAAGCAGAGAAAACAGACAAACTTACTGTCTGGACTTCCAGACCATAGCTGGCCTGAAAATAGACCTCATGTGTCATCTAATGTGTATCTCCCTGCAACACGTAAAGGTTCTCAGGGTGGTTTAGGTGGCCTAATGTAGTGCAGATGTAAATCAATGCAGACATGCACAAAGGTTCTCAGGGTGGTTTAGGTGGCCTAATGTACGTCTTGTTACTGTAGTGTCTAGTTCATTTCCTGTATCCTTGGTTACACTGTTCTCTTGAGATAGCCACCTTTATTAGCCTCCTACTATTGAAGTTTGTGTCCCTGGATCGGGAAGCAGATCGTTGTAACCTGATGGCCACTTCACTGCCTGCACCAATTCTCTGGTTTATGATGTTAAAATTCCTCCTTAGTGGGAATAAGATGATGGATGTCAGCCACTTAGCTTAAAAGAATGTATACATCTTGCAGAATTTGATTCCTGTATTTCTATTATAATTTTATCATTTAATGGCATTAAAGGACGTGTAGATTTTGCAATTTGGCTGTCAAAATTCTTGCCATTTCCTGCAGTTTCGTATAGAATGAGATTGCTTAAATCCCTAACAGTCATTTGGACTTGTTGATTCTTTATGTCTTCAGGTAAGCGTTGCTTCTGACCCTGGGCGCAGAGTTCAGCACAACATGCTGAGTCCTTTCCCAAGCCCCTTCCAGAGCCCATTTCGGAGTCCAATACGTAGTCCTTTTCACAGCCCTTTCAAGAACTTTGGACACCCCAATGGAAAGACAACTGATCTTGAGTGTGAAGATGATGAAATGAATCTCAATTGCTTCATTCTGATGTTTGATCTCATCTTGAAGCAGGTACTTGCAGAAGAAAAACACCCGTATTGAGGGGACACTGAGGTTCTGTAGTCGCTTTTAGCTCTCCTTTAATCCTGTATTGAGTCCCTTTCTGCTAAGGGACTGACATGGAAGTATAAGGCATTTAGATCCCTTTAGGGCTGTTACCTGTCTTTACCCATATAGGAGTTATAGGTTCATGTTCAATGAAGAGGAAGTTAGATACCTCCACATTCATTATGTAGCTTATATGAGTGAAAGGAACTTCTCCTTGGAGATACGTTTATTTCTACAGACTAAAAGCAGAGGCTTGTTGACAGGCTCGGATTAGATGCATAATTTTTGGGTAGCTACATTTGTACATTGTAAATCCAAGGCCAAGTGTTTTGAATAACTGTCTCCAGGTAAAATTCATGGATACTGTGCTTGAAATTGTCTATTTATGCTAGCTGAGCTTGGGCCTCAACACTGGTGGCAATTTAAAATTATGAGTTCCAGTTTATCTCAAAGTCTTCCCAATACTGTAATAACACTAGCAGAAATGTAGGAATAGGCAGAATAGTTAGTGCTTTGGCTTTTAAATAAATAATAAATCCTCACTCTTTTCACTCTCTTTCAGATGGAACTCCAGGATGATGGTGTCACTTTGGGCTTAGAGAACAGCATTTCAAAAGATATAATATCCATCATAAACAATGTGTTCCAGGCACCCTGGGGTGGTTCTCACACCTGTCAGAAAGATGAAAAAGCAGTTGAGTGTGGTCTGTGTCAGTCTAGCATTCTGTGTTACCAGCTGGGTTTTGAGCTGTTGGAACAGCTTGCTCCAAAAGAAGAAATCAGACTTGTGGTAAGTAGAGCAGGAACAGTGGTATTACTGGTGTGCTGAAACTCTTCTTCTTCATTATTCTCATTACACTGTGCACAAGGGAGCAAAGCTGCGCTGGCCTTTGGCATGGCAGATTTGGGAGGTTAAAGCAAAATGCCATTGAATTGTAAAGTTTCCTAAGTTTGAATTGATTCAAAGAACCCAGGGAAGATGACAATATTCATCCAGTATGAACTCTTCCCCCATCAACACTGAAGTGCTGTTTCACTTTAGAAGGATGTTGCTATAATACTGTCTTAAATAAAATGTGAAATGTTAATACTTAGTGCTTTTCACCTTCAAAAAGCTAAGTGGATATTTTGAAATGATTACTGATTTTGAGTGAATCAGTTGTTACGTGAGCAAACATTAGTTGGTGCTTGATTTTTGACAATGCTGAGCACTGTCGAAAACCAGAATATACTTCAGGTTGAGTATCCAACTTTATCAGACACAGCTATGTACTCTACAATCACTAGTCATCATTAAAGTCATCTGTAACTTTGCAGAAGATCTGAAGTATTGCCTGTGGTTTGATGAATTTATTTTAAGCTGTGTGTCTATTATATGTAACTGTTCCATCTGATAGTTCAGAAGACAGCATTGTTACCCTTATTCTGAGTGCTAATTTGATGTGGCATGGCAGTGGCAGGATGTTTACTAGTAATTTTTTTTTCGGTGGTCGGCATAGCAATGCCTTTTGATGTGTAAAAGTTTCAGAATTCCATTTGAATGTGTATGCAAATAGTAGGCATTGTGCATGTGGTATTCAGTAATGTGTACTAGAAAAATCATCTCATGCCCTTTCAGTATAGATTCTTACCTCAACTGAAAAGTAGCAAGTGGTGAAGTCTTTTGAATGCTGGGGCTCAGTACCATTTCTAAGATCCACCTTGCTATTTGTAACATAAAGGTCACAATGGCAACCTGTAGTCCTGAGCAACTAGCCATAGGCAGAAGTAACTCCAGCCTGGTCCTTTTTTCAGTGTAGAGGTGACTGAGGCAGCCCCTGCCCCTAAGCCTGTAACTCTACAGGAGTGTAGGAAACACACCCTGCTCTTGTCTCTTATTTCTCTGAGGCAATGATGACAAGTTTGGTGAAATCATGGCCCTGTGACTGGATCCATCTTAGCTCCAACATGGATATACAGTTTGTGTTAAGTGGTACCACTTAAATCCGTGTTTGAAACAGAATCTTCTTGTTGGTATGCATCTACTGATGCAGAACTTTAGATACGCAGGTGATTCGAATGCGCAAGTGTATATGGAACTAGACAGTGTCTGTCTCATTTGAGCTCAGCTTATCACAGCAAATGTAACTTAAACAGCAGGATATGGCCTCATGTATTTAGATAACATCAAGAAATGAATTTAACTTATTATATTCTTAAAGGAGCCCACAGATAACCTCGAGGATAGTCTTCTGTATACTAGACCTGAGTTTATTATAGGAACTGAAGTAGAAGAGGAAGACAAATTGGCACCAAAACATGGACAAAACCCAGGAAATCACTCAGAGACCACAGAAAATGCTGGTAGGTGGAGTGTGAGAAGGTTGAGTATTTCAGTAGAGCTTTAAATGAAACGCTTTTACTCATATAGAATACAAGGTTCTGAAGCAGTCTTTCAAGTCTGGCAATGCACAGTCACTTTTTTTTCTCATGCATTTATTTCTTTCAACATATTAATTAAATAGGAAAGCTGTATTTATGTTGATAGCAAGTGTGACTGTCTCTGAAAAAAGTGTTAGAAGGAATCCTGGCTTTTTGAACATATAAAGTGGCAAAAACATTACATGCCAAATTCTGTGCTGTTGTAACTTTACTGACTGCAGGGTTACTGTGGCTAGAATTAATTTATCTCTCATCACTTTGACATTCTTTAGTTCCATTTTGAATCCACAGATGAGAGAACTTTAACAACATTTTATGTAACTTACATTTTTAACAGCGATAAAGAATGATCCAGAAAGAAAATTTTGTTACCAGCAACTTCCAGTTACCTTGAAGCTCATATACACTATATTGCAGGTAACATTGATTACTTGTTTGTTTAGTTTGAATTTTTGGTTAAGTGGTGTCATTGTGTTGAGAGTAGTACATCTGCTTACACAGGAAATGTCAAGGTTTGAAGAACCAGACATTCTTTTTAACATGCTGAATTGTCTGAAGATCCTGTGTCTTCATGGGGAATGCCTGTATATAGCAAGAAAGGACCATCCACAATTTCTTGCCTATATTCAAGATCACATGCTGATTGCAAGGTAGGTTTTTATGGCACATTTTGTCTTCATTCTTTGTTGGTTCCCCAACTATACATTTGTTACTGGCATCAAGGAATTTGCGGGTTTATTATGGAGAATTAACAAAGGGTGGTAGGGAAGTGTGGAAAGGTTAAGTAACTGTATAAGGGCACATTGCATAGGCTAATTAAGAACTTGCAAATGAAACCAAGGAACCCTGCATTGTCCATCCTGGCTACTCTGTTATGCACCACTTGTTTTTGAGTCAAATTTTCCCATATTGAATAATAGCATTTCCTGGCTACTCTGTTATGCACCACTTGTTTTTGCAGTGAGTCAAATTTTCCCATATTGAATAATAGCATCGTCTGGGACTGAGATATCCTCCCTGACTCTACAAAATAAAGGATGATGTACAGGCAGGCACACAGTTTATAGGGCTTTAGTATTAAAGCTGAGAGAACAATAGTATTGCACCTTATTTTTAAGAGGTAAAGGAAGTTTTTTCATTTAGAATCAGAGTGAATTGGACTGAGATCTGTGCATTTTAAGATTCTCTTTGGAGAAAGGGACTTTTGCAGAAAACTCACTGAATAGACATCAGCATATGTTCTGAAATATAGTGTGTTCATTAGTGCTTATACCTGCTCTGTATCAATTTAATAGAGCATCTCCTGAGACTGTAGAGTTTTAGCAGACTAGGGAAATTGTCCTGAATCTAAATACCAGCAAATTGTGAACACCTGACATCTTAGTCATTTGTGGATGCACAGGATTCGTGGTGCCAAGACAGTTCACGTGTCTTATGCGCTGAAGCTGGTCGTGCTGAAAGTGCTAATTCATAGCATGGATTATGTTCCACGGCAGTTCTGCCTTGAATTAGGCAAACTCTTGTCAAATCTGAAGTGTTTCAATGTGAGGAATATTTGAACCTGGATTTTCAAGAAAAACTGCTGTAGTTGAAGATTTGCAAGTAGCTCCGTTCTACCAGCAAGTCACATAAATGCCCAGGATGGCTCACAGAGATTTTTATGAAAAGTGCATTCCCACCAAAAATACAGTGTAGATATTTAGAAGAAAGCATGTCAAGGGAGTGGTTTTGTAAGCAGGCTTGCTCTTTTTGGCCTTTCCAGCTTATGGGGAGTTGTGAAGTCTGAGTTCTCTCAGCTTTCTTCCCTGGCAGTCCCGCTTCTTCTTCATGCACTTTCGCTGCCCCACGGAGCTGACATTTTCTGGACAATCATAAACAGCAATTTCAACAGCAAAGATTGGAAGATGAGATTTGAAGCAGGTAGGCCTGAGAAATGTACACTATTTGCTCTTTGTTGCTTCACTGAAGAGGTAGAGCTTTCTCTGCTGTAACTGAGGAGACCTATAATAGATGATTATCTTTTTGCTGCTTTGGGGACTTTTCAAGATAGGCTGGTGCGAAACTGTGGCACAGCAATGCAGTAAAATAGTGGAGAACATGAGACATTTTAGATAATCAAAGTAAAATCAAAATTACAACACTTGCCGGCTATTTTTTGTTGTTACTTTCTCAGATGTGCATATTTCTAGGAGAGTTATATTAATAAGGACATAAAGAAGCCATTGCCTAAACTAATATGCATATTTTCTTTGTCTGGGTGCATGGCTGCTACAGTGGAGAAGGTAGCTGTGTTGTGCAGATTTTTGGATATTCACTCTGTGACAAAAAACCACCTACTGAAGTACTCTTTGGCTCACGCATTCTGCTGTTTCCTGACTGCCGTGGAAGATGTCAACCCAGCAGTAGCTACAAGAGCTGGGCTATTACTTGACACCATAAAGAGGCCAGCTTTACAGGTAGGTTCATTGTATGGGAAGAAATACATTCAAACAGGAATATGGGTTTTCACCTGAAGTTCGAAGCAGTTCAGGTGTACAGCATTATGGGCACTGCTAATACCTCTTTAGGCAAGCCTTATAGGTCTTGGTAATTGACATATGCACAAAATAGCTAAGCAAAATGATAGCCCAACTTAGAATTATAGAATCATTTAGGTTGGAAAGGATCTGCAAGGTCATCAAGTCCAACCATAAAAACTTTGATGACTGCAAAGGATTACTGTTGCATTTGCATTACTATTGTAGAAAGCTTTAAATTTTTTTATTATTTTAAAATGTATTGACATTAAAAAAAAAAAAAGAGTAAGTCTTATGACACCCTGCTGAGCTGACAGTGAGAAAATATATTCAAGCAAAACCAAACAAGATGATCTTGATCTTTTCAAGATCTACTTAGGTATGTAATTTTAAGCATGTGAGAGACCCTGCCAATCAGAGTTTTCTTGATTAAAACTGATATGAAAGATTAAAGATATGAAAGTGGATCAGAGCCTACCTATGCAAGCAAGATAAAAAAAAAATCTCATAGTACACAATTCAGTTCTAGTTCTCTGGAGAATAGAATGAATATGTATTTTTAAAAGTTCAGTTTTACTGCCTATAAAAAGTTGTTAATACTTGCTAGTTTTATTCCATCTAGTGCCTTTTCAAAATAGTTTCCAGAGAACTTGAATTCACTGAGTTCACTGAGACTGTTACCAGTATAGTGCACTTCCATATTGAATGTGTGTTTTCTTCTCAAACATAAGTCTTAACACTACACCCAAAATTCTAGTGTAGATAAAATACAGCAGCATTTTAAGACAAAGCACTTCTGATACAGTTCACCACATAATCTTTCTTCCTCTGTTTGGGCTTGTTGATTCATCCTTTTTGTAATTAAGGGCTTGATTCAGTTGCCTAAATACAAGATTTTTCTCAGGCAGGGGTGTGTGAAAAGAATACACTGATACTGTGTACCAAATGTGCAGTAGGACAGAACTTTGCGTATACCTTTTGTATGCCTCAAAATCTTAGCAAATTCTACATTCTAAATATGTTCGTTTATCTCCCTACTTACCTTACTTTTCCACTGAAATCAGTAGCATTAGTTGTGATTTAAAGGACTTGGTAGGAAAAAGGAGCTGAACCTTCATCTTGGTACTAATTAACAGGAGAAGTTGCGAGCTTTGACATCCCTTTGCTTTAAAAATGGCTTAAAGTTTTCACATCTGAGTTCTGTGTTGGTTTTTGTTTTTCTTTATAGGGTCTCTGCCTCTGCCTTGATTTCCAGTTTGACACAGTTGTCAAGGACAGGCCCACGATCCTTAGTAAGCTTTTGCTGCTTCATTTTCTAAAAGCGGATATTCCAGCTTTGAGCTGGGAGTTCTTTGTGAATCGCTTTGAGACCCTGTCTCTGGAAGCACAGCTTCATCTGGACTGCAACAAAGAATTCCCTTTCCCAACAAGTAAGCAGAGTCCAAATCAATCTGATCACCTTTTATCAGCTTCTGGAATTTCGGCTGCCTGCAAGGGTCTGAGAGAGATCTAGGTCTCACCTGTATAAATTCTCTGAAATTAAGTAACCTTTCAGGCCAAAAGAGAATAATTTGAAGTGAGCATTTTTTGACTGCCCGAATACAGATTAGGCTATATTCTGTGGCACCTTTGGGTGTCTTGTTTTACTCTCACTAGGATGTGATTGCCAGCCTTGGTTGAAATGCAGTCTGGTTCTGTGACCAGCTGCAACCTGCATTAACCTGCGCTTGTTCTTATGCTATTGACATTGAGTTCTCAAAGGCCTAGGCCATGCCTGACTCTATTCTGTAGTGGTCTATATAAAGACATCCCTAGGAGCTGTATGACACTTGAAAAACAAACAAATATATGGGGCACAGCACAAGAGGTACACGGACTCTTAGAGATGGTGCTCAGTTAACTGTTCCTGCAGTGACAAATGTTTGTAAACATTTGTCCTCTTCATGCTTGGTTTCTTGATGAGACACCATGTCTACTTCCATGCACTAGGGGGGGCTACAAAATAATTTGTGCATGATTGCTTCACATGCTGAGTAACTGAAAACTTCCTTACCCAAGTGGTGGTCCATGAGGCAGATCCATTTCCATGTGATTTGCTTGGAGGAGGTGGGGACAGCTGTTTGGACAATGTGTGCTCCCTCAGCAGCCTCATGCCTCCTCCTACACTTGCGTGGAACGCAGTGCCTAAGAAAGCCCAGGTGCTGTTGCTGCATCCATACAGGAGATGGGTGGAACTGTAAACATATTTTCTTCTCCATATGCAAGTAGCTTGACCCAAAGCTGGGAACTGCTGCTGCAGCCTGAGGAGGGAATTTCAGCACTGGTTTCTAGCACCTCTGGCTGCAAATGTAGGGTCATATCTTTAAATATGAGTATTTGGGAGTGATTTAAAATTTAAAATATGCAAAAGATATTTTTCAAGTTTCTTTTTAACCTTTCTCTTTGCCTTTTCAAAGACATAAGTGGTGCAAAGGATGGGCTCGCTGGCTTTAGTCACTCAGATAACTAGGCTCACAGGGTTTTAATGCACTGTAGGCATAAGTATAGAAAAGTATTGGTGACCCCATTAAGACATGCAATGATACTGCTGGTAACACTACTATAAATGCATAATCACACTCACAGATTTTTGGAGACACTGTTCAAATCCAGGATGATAGGTGTAGGCAGGACAGGAGGTCAGTAAGGCAAAACTAGAGGCCACATTTGGG